TAATTTTGACTTCAACTGTAGATAACATCATAAAGTTAGTACTAAAATCGAGAACAAATGAAAAATGATCAGAGACAATCTTGGAAGAAAATTTGATCTAATCTGATTTAAATTTAGACTAATTTTTCCAATTCAGACAACACAAATGTATTATTTATGATAACAGAACACTGAAAGAAAATATTCATCTGATTTATTACATTTTATTGTAAGTGGTTGCAAACAATTTATATGGGCTAAATTTAAAGAAGCAAATAAAAAATTTTAAGGTTCAACTTAATTTGTTTGTTTAAATTGACCCCATATAAATTTTTTGCAACCACTTATCTTCATCATTCACTGATTTATTTTAATATTTAGCAAATATTTAAAAGCAACATTTCAGCCATAACATAAAAATGAGTGATAGCAAAAACTTTTCATTAAAATGTTATACAAATATTATATGCAGTACATATATGAGTATACCTCTCACAAATCTTTCATTTAAATTCATATTTTCAATGTGCTACAATATTATATTTGTGCATATACATTAGATCAGTGGTTCTCAAACTGTGGTACATGTACCACTAGTGGTACGCAGCCTTTCTTCTAGTGGTACTCGGAGGAATTGCTGAATAATTCAAGTAAAAAACAAAAAGAACACACTTTTAACCCTTTGACGTGTACGATAACACCAATGTGATCAGTAAATTGATTTTAATAGGCTAAACCTTTTATTTTATTTTCAATGTTTGTTATGTATTCTATCATTTGAAGCTAATCTCCTCCCCATATTTGTATCGGCTGTTGGGGGAGTATGCTGTATTTTCATATCTCAATGTTGACAGGTATGGTTTAATGACGTGCTTTTGTCAAATGACATGCTTTTGACATGCTTTTTTTGCACGAAGCCTATAACAGGCAGTAAGCAGATCTAATTTCTAAACTAAATATGTAAATCCAAAACATACATTTAAGGTTAATGTTTTGATTTCACAGATATACAAACAAGTCACATGCAATATCTGTTTCAATTTTTTTCAAAAACATTTTAAATATGAATATGATGACAAATAGTCTTTATTTACGAGGTCCAAGGAACATTTCCAGGATTTTATGAATAGGCTACTATATGTTAAAACTTTACATTGAAGTACAGCAGTTTACTTTTTACTTTTAAGTACAGTGTCGTTTCTAATTAATTTTTAGAAGCACATTTTAATCTAAACATTATTATTTATTTATTTTTTACCTGTAAGCACAGGGCAGTGTTAATGTTTAAGCTATTTCTTATGTTTAAAGTGGCTGACAATAATAAATATTCTTAATAATAGAAATTATTAATTTCAAATTAATCTGCCTCATTTTTCAACTGTGCAGAGCTTTAGCTGCTTACTTAGGCCTGCTATACGCTACTGCATTTTAATACTGGTCTTCATGGTGGTTCTTGGCAAGACTATTTTTTTTCTGAGATGGTACTTGCATTAGACCACTGCATTAGGTTAATTAGTAGTAAAGCCAAATATGGAGCTAATCTAACAAAATAACTTACCAGTCCAAACACTAGTACACCCAAATTATGTATTTAGGAAAAATAAGAAATACAATTTTTAAAAAATTAGCAAAAATCAAGAGAAGAAAAAAAAAAGATTTAAAAAATTTTTGCAGTTTGTAATTTTGTTTTTCCAAAATTTTGCATGCATTTAAATGTACCTATGTATTACAAGTATTCACTAAGAAATTGATAAACAATATTAATTTTCAAAATGCGCAATATGCTGAGTGGCACTGTATATGAATTGGAAAACCTGTAGGCAACATATATACTGTGCACCTAATTTGAACATGCTGTGTTAATGTATAATATGAAATAAAAACGCCGCCATCGGAAAAAAATCGCCATCTTCAGTGCAGGTGCATTAAAACAGAGCACCTGAGATTTTAGACAGTAGTGTTATCATATTTTCAGTCATAAACCCGAGAGCTTTGAACTCGTGCCAGCGGTGCGTTGTGCGCAGTGTGTGTGCCCCACTGAAGAGTTTAATCCCCGCTCTTTCAAAGAAACCACCCGTGCTTATAATCATTTCAACGGAGTATAAACAGAGCATGCACTGAACGGAGGTGCACATGATCACATATATCCGCTGTTATCTACAGTACAACCCTGAAAACAAGCCATTGCATAGACTAAACTTCCAGCAGACAATGTTTAGGCTAACTCATTCAGAGACTAATTACAACTTTTATTTAAGAAAAAATCTAAATTAATTAATATTAAACTCACTAAAATAGATACTGTTCTTATGAATTATTACATGCAGGTTTATAGTAAAGTATGCATGAAACAAATAACTGATTTAGAATTAACGAGTGATATTACAGTAAGCGAATAAACATTGTTGCAAGCTTATATAGTAAATGCGCACGAATGCAAGGCTAGTTTTTCATCTTGAACTTTTTCTTACCTTGCTCTGAGATGAAACATGACTGGACATCATGAGCAAGCACGCCACGAGCTCCACAATCCTCCACATCTCGGCGGTGTGTGACTGTGAAGCTCCTCTGTGCGAGTGTGTGAGATGCGCGTTCATGCGACTGTAAAGACTACAGACTCACCATCATCATCATCATCATGACCTCTCTCTCTCTCTCTCTCTCTCTCTCTCTCTCTCTCTCTCTCTCTCTCTCTTATAGCAATGCCTCCACCTGCTGGACAACAGCGGCAACAAAAGATGAATGTGATTTTAACAACTCGTTGAATTAATGAGTTTGTGCCTTAATATTAATTATATAGCCTAATTTTGAATTGTTGTTATTATTATTAGTTTAGATGGAAATATTGTGAATCCAAATTAATTGTAATCTCAGTCTTTTGTTTAGATTTAAAAGTAAAAATGCTGTTCTGTTATTGTTCAAGCTTTAATACAGTTTTTCTCCATTGGTTTGACTCTTTTCTTGAAACAGTAATTACATTCTCAAAATTATAACATCATTTGGCAAAACAGTGTTACAGTTTAGCACAACACTATAGCTCACTTACAACATCTCATACCTTTCCCAAAACAGTTCACTTGTATGTCAAAACAAATTTTTTTTCTCATTTAAACAGTCAGTGCCTCCAAAATGCTTCGTCCCTTTAGCATTGTGTAAGCACTGCAAGTCAAAATGTTTAGATGTTTTGTCGTTATGGCACAGGACCACTAAAATAACCCTCATGTCCACCTAACTGTCTTAGCCCTTCATTGACAATGGTTTTTGAACTGTTTTTGTCAAGCTAACAGAATACAATTGTGTGTAAAATTGAAAAAAGGAAATAGAATTTTAGGGTAAGAGTAGCCTCCAAGGTTTGACGTCACACACTGCACTCATATTGCCAAGGAATATGGTAACTCCTTTTTCATTGTAATGATCAACCACACACAAAGTAACTTCCACATATCAGAGCAAAATAATAAATAGCTGTAATGAATTGTAATCAAATGTTCTAAGGATTCACCTATACAGTATGGTATTCAATATGGTCTTGACTAATTTTGACAATTGAACAGACTAGACTATTATAAGGTTCTGACATTTTTTTGTCAAAATTCAGTTATTGACATATTCTTATTAATTGATGGCTTATTTACATTAGGGATGTTTTTTTTATATAAGTTATTTACATTTTAAGACTTTTTATTTAAAAAAACAAATGTTAGACACATACTGTTTGCTGTGGAATGCAAAAACTTTGAAACTCAATATCTCAAAATCAGTCAGAATGCAGTTAGAACCTTATAATTCCAAGGTGACAATATCTTTATTAGCTTAAAAATGACCCCAAATTTACATATCTTTACAGATTTACATATCTTCATGTAGCCTAATAACTGCGGTAGCCTAGGTTTTTTTTTTCAATGTTTTACTTAATTAAAAAAATCTGTTTATGTTTTTCATATTATTCTACAGCAGTTTTTGTGTATTGTATTTTAACGTTAAGTGTATTTATGACAAGCTAGCTGTGTCAGTGACACTAGAATGAAAGCTCGGACGGACAGACAGACAGACTGACTGACTGACTGACTGACTGACTGACTGACAGACAGACAGACTGACAGACAGACAGACAGACAGACAGACAGACAGACAGACAGACAGACAGACAGACAGACAGACAGACAGACAGACAGATAGATAGATAGATAGATAGATAGATAGATAGATAGATAGATAGATAGATAGATAGATAGATCTACAAAATGTAATTGACGCAGGCGTGTTGTAGTAAATGTCCACAAGACGGCAGCAGAGCACAATATATACAACTTGAATGCCAACGAGTATGAGATGGAAACGTTGTATTCACTGGTTTATGTTGTCATCCCAACGTTGTTCAAAAGGAAAATAAATCGTGATTTAAGACACCAATAATCATTAGCCAACTGTACAAAAAATCCAATAAGAGTTATAAATTT